GGGAGTCAAGCTATTCTCCAAAGCACCTGAGGGCAGAATAAGAAGCAATGGGTGGAAACTAATCAAGGAGAGAAGCAACTTGGAACTGAGGAGAAATTTCCTGATGTGAGGACAATTAATCAGTGACAGAACTTGCCTCCAGAAATTGTGAATGCTCCAACACTGGAAGTTTTTAAGAAGATGTTGGAAAGCTATGTGTCTGAAGTGGTGTAGGGTTTCCTGCCTAAGCAGGGGTTGGACTAGAAGACCTCCAAGGTCCCTTCCAACTCTGCTATTCTATTCTATTCTATTCTATTTAAATTTACTTTTAGAAGAGCATGAAATACTTTGGACTTTCTCTCTCATAGATTTCAGGTTCTCCATTTTTAAAATTAAATTGGGCATTCAGAGGTGCCTTCTCTAACTTTAAACTTACAAAGGTGGCAAACTTTCTGTGAGAGCTGGTGTAATGGTTAAGGCACCTGGCTAAAAGCTGGGAGACTGTTGAATTTTAGTTCTACCTTAGACACAAAGCCAAATGGGGACTTTGAGCCAGTCCTTCTCCCTTAGCTCCGAGGAAGCTGGTAATAGCAAACCACTTCTGAAAATGTCCAGGCAGTCACCAGGACTCGAGACTGACTCGGAAGCACCAATAAAAAAAAAATCTGGGACAGGATCCCATGCTGGAAACCGCAAGGTTTTAGTTCTCTGTTGCTCCTGCAGCCTCTTTGGCTTGTAGCGGACTGGGAAGGGAGCGAAGGCTGCAAACAGTGCTGGGGAAACATGTGAGTCTACTATTTGCTTTCTCTCTCCAGTGGAGGACCTGTGGTTGTGCTGGTGCAGCTGGAGCGAGAGGAGGAAGTAACCGGGCCCGTGATTGCCCCACTGTTCCCACAGGTAAGTGGGGTCCTTGGGGAAAGATTCTGGGAAGCCTATGGATGATTCAGCTTCTGGGAGAGGCTGAGTGTTGTGGCCCGTCAGCTGCCGGCAGAGCTAGCAGCAGAGCCGGGGAAGGAGGAGCCCGGGGCAACTCTGGGAGGCTCTGATGAGGAAGCAGAGGCAGTTGCAAAGCTGGGGCCTTCCACCCCCTCACCCCCCAGGTGGAGAGGCAGCTGTCTTCGGGGCCTGAGCTGAGTGAGGGGGAGGAGCAGATGGGGCCCATCCCAGATGTGTGTGTGCTTAGAGAGGAGAGGAGAGCAACGGAAAGCAATAAGCCGGCTCTCGGGGAAAAGAAGACGTAGACCAGGGGTTCCTGGTGATTGACTCAGTCTTCCAGCCTTCCGAGTTGGGTCAAATGAGGACCCAGATTGTTGGGAGTAAAAGGCTGACTCTCTAAACGGCGGAGAGAGGGCTGTAAAGTCTATGTGCTATTGATATTCCCAACCTTTTCTATAACCTGCACTCGTAGAACGCTTCTGATATATTCTTGCACCCGTTAAAAAAGTAAATATATGCATATACCCTATACTTTTGAAACTTCTAAACCAGAGGTAGTATTCAGCAGGTTCTGTCCAGTTCTGGAGAACCAGTAGAGGAAATTTTGAGTAGTTGGGAGAACCGGTAAATACCACCTGACTGGCCCCACCCCCATCTATTCTCTGCCTCCCGAGTCCCAGCTGATCGGGAGAAAACGGGGATTTTACAGTAATCCTTGCAAGGACTTTCTATCTTGAGTTCTCATTGAACAGAGACTGTTCTTACCCCATTTCAGAAGGGGGAAAAACTTTCCTTTGTGACTAATTACTTTTGGGGTTGTTTATCCAACATGATGTTTAAACAGCGATGGCTCAGTGGCTAAGATGCTGAGCTTGTCGATGAGAAAGATGGGCGGTTGGAATCCCTAGCGCCACCTAATGGAGTGAGCTCCTGTGATTTGTCCCACCTTCTGCCAAGCTAGCAGTTCGAAAGCACATAAAAAATGCAAGTCGAAAAATAGGGATCACTTTGGTGGGAAGGGAACAGTGTTCCATGCCCGTTGGGTGTTTAGTCATGCCAGCCACATGACCACGGAGTCATCTTCAGACAGCGCTGGCTCTTCGGCTTTGAAACGGAGATGAGCACTGCCCCCTAAAGTCAGGAATGACTAGCACATACGTATGTGCAAGGGAAACCTTTACTTTTAGCTTTATCCAATGTGACAAGACTGTTCCTTCCCTGTTTGACTAAAGGGGTCTGTTTTACTCGTCAGTAAATGGTTTCTCATTGCTGGCAAAGGCTGGGTCAGAACAAGCAAGGGTCTGTTGGGGCTGAGAATACACCGTCGTTGTGTGCCTCACTTTGTCCTCTTTGTTGATTCTTTCCTGCAGAAACGCGAGGAAGGCTGGTGGGTGGTGATTGGCGACTCTAAATCCAACAGCCTCATTTCCATCAAGCGACTGACGCTGCAGCAGAAGGCCAAGGTAAGACACTCACGCATCTACATCAGTCTTGGTTATTGTTCTGACCCAGCTGCCCAAACACGATCAACCCTCTGAAGTGAACTCAAGTATTCCTTTATTAGGAGCGCTGGCAGCCCCGGCAAAAAGTTTCTCTCTCACCGCAGGCTAAAAAGTCCGTCCGTCCGGAAGATGAATAGTTGTCTGTCACATCTATTTGTCTCCACCCCCTGCCTTTTATCCCCAGAGCTAAGGGGCCTCGCTAGCAGCCATGGCTCTTCTGTCCTGAGGACCGGCCAATAGATTTCCACTGTTCTCCTCACCTTTGCCTTCTGTGCATCCATGTGTCAGGCACTGGGCCCAGCTGTTCCTCCTCTTCCTCATCAGCCACCTCCAGACCTGGGAGCTATTGACTCTCCATCTGAGGGCTGACGAACGGCCCAGGCTCTGCCTCTGTCTCTGTCTCTCTCTGCCAGCTCCATTCCCTCTTTCCCTCCAAGCTCTCAGATTTCCCTGAATAGTTTCCAAAGAGAAGCCAAAATCCAGCCATGAGATTTGGCGCTTCCCATCAGCCAGTCCAATGCTCAGAGTTTCAGGGTTTACAAGTAGAATTTGCAGGAACAGTCCAGGACAGGAGTTCACCCTAACCAAAAGCAGCCACGTATAAAACCAGGTAACACTGATGAGATTACTTACTTTGGTAATGAAAAGTCTACCAACCCCCTCCCCCCCCAACTCAGAGAGCATCAAGGACCCAACGGTTCAACCCCACTCTACGAATATCCGCTTCTATTGAAAGCAGGATTCTTGGAAGCTAAATTCTGTTCCCTGTGTCACTTTTTTTCCTGCCTCGCATTCTGTAATGTCCATTGTCCTGCTTGTGGTTTAGCGGCTATTGATTTTAAAAAAAAAAAAACTCTCGTCTGAAATGTCAAAGTTAAGAAGCTAAACAAAGCATGAATTGCACCCAATTTTATTGTTAGCCCTTAACATGATTCAATCTGTGTATTTTCATGCTTTCCCCAAAGAGATGCCTATTGCGTTGAGCTGTTTCTTTTTCCACTGAAAGCAAAGCTGGGAATTCTGGGAGTTGAAGTTTGCCAGGCTTAAAGTTCCCAAGGTTGGAGATCCCTGCTAAGAAGGACACCCCACCATTATTTACCACTGGGAATTGTATATTTCTTTGCAAAACCCAGAGAGAATATTGGGGATGCAAGGGTTGAGTTACAGCAGGGGTGGGCAACCTTAAACACTCAAATAGCCACAAAGGTCCTAAACAGAAGCCCCCCGTTCAATTCTGGAGCCGACCGGAAGTCCAGTTCCCCCATCATAGAGTCTCCTCCTAGCATGGCATCCTTTTTCCTCTGCTGATCAGAAGTCCGGTTCCCCCACCATAGAGTCTTCTAGCATGGCATTCTTTTTCCTCTACCTGTCCTAACCGAAAGCCCTATCAATTGTGGCACTGACTGGAAACAGGGAGCTGCAGCAGAGGGATGAAAGAGCCACATGGGGCTCCAGAGCTGCAGCTTGCTGACCCCTGGCCTAATCCCTGCTTTTTGCAGGCAACCAGTTCCTGTTGATCCGACTTGTTCTAAAAACCCAATTCTTGTGCTATTTTAGGTGAAGCTGGATTTTGTGGCTCCAACCACCGGGACACACAACTACACGCTCTACTTCATGAGCGATGCCTACATGGGCTGTGACCAAGAGTACAAGTTCAGTGTGGACGTAAAAGAGGCAGAGAGTGACAGCGACTCCGACTGAGTGACAGGCTGAACATCCTTGGTGATAGGACCTTCATCAAGTCATTGTGGACTTTCTTGGAGCAGATAACCACCATAGGTGGTTGGAAAGCGCGTTTTGTAGATGTTCTCAGTTTCTGATTCCCTACATTGTCTAAGCCCCAGTCGGCAGGTGTAGAAAGGGACTTCCACCTTTTGTGTTCCTGCCAGCATCTTCAGCTTTTTCCTGTTTTATTTTTTAAACTCAGCAAAACAAGCAGTAGTTTTGATGTACAATGTTTGGAGTAAACGAGCAGACTTGATTGTTTGGAGATCCTGCTAATTTTCCAAAATAAAACTTCCAGGAATTAACATGGGTCCCTTTTGGGGGGGGAGAGTAATCCAAGTGAAGATAGTTGTTAGAGCCGTGGTGGTGCAGTTTAGAAGGCAGTATTGCAGGCTGACTCTGCACACTGCTGGAAGTTCGATCCTAACTGGCTCGAGGTTGACTCAGCCTTCCATCTTTCTGACATTAAATGAGGACCCAGCTTGTTGGGGGCAAGAGGCTGATTCTGTAAATTGAAGACGGCTATAAAGCACTGTATATAAGTTTAAGTCCAATTATTATTCCTCCTTCCATTCTCCCTCTCTTCTTCCTTGCATCCTCCCTCCCTCTCTCCCTTTTCCTTCCTGCCTGCCTGCCATGGTGGCACAGTGGTTAGAATGCAGTACTACAAGCTAATTTACTGCCCACAGCCAAGAGTTCGATCTGACCGACTCAAGGTTGACTTAGCCTTCCATCCTTCCGAGGTGGGTCAAATGACCCAGATTGTTGGGGGCAAGAGGCTGACTCTAAACCGCTTAGAGGGAGCTGCAAAGCACTGTGAAGCGGCATATAAGTCTAAGTGCTATTGCTATATCGGTTCTGCATATTTCTTGGTGTCCTTCCAATATCCAACCTCCCATGCTATATGGATTTGCATTTTCTTGCACATGAGACTGGTGTAATATTCTGCCATTCTATTTGGTGTAAACAGTAGAAACCATTTTTAAAAATAAAATCTTAATTACAGGAGACTAAATGTAGTCTTGCCCTCCTCTGGTATTCCTAACAACAGGGAAAACTTAACAAAGAAGCTGAAAGCACCCCTTTCTCCTACATCTGAAAAAATTAGGCTGTGTCCCATGAGCAAAAATGAATTTTTTGCAGGCCGCAGATTGTGTAAACAGGTTGTACATTTTCAGCATTCTGCCTACATCCGATTTAATAGAATTCAGAGTTCCAGTAAGCCAGGCAGGCAGGCATTACAGTGCTGATGGCTACTGAAAGCAGAATCTCGTTTTAGTTTTTGGGGCGGGACTCTTAACAGCTCCTTTGTAATAAAAGGGTGAGCAGATGTCCTTAGGATTTGCAAAAAAACAACAACAGCAGCTGTTTGTAATCCTTGGAAAGTGGCAAGATCCTATGAATGAACCAATTGGAGGAAGTGAAGCCAGTCAGGAAATTTGAACAGCTGTCAGATGAGAAACCATTAAGGTACTTAAGTAATCATTGAACTGTTTAGAGTGCAGGAGATGAGACACTCTGAGTTAAGAGTCTTGTATTTGCCAAATAGGAAACCAGCTAATGTAGCTTAAGATATGGTACAGCTCTGGGGGATGTATCTATATCAAGGGAAGAGCGATGCCAGAGAAATGTGCAGATTATTCAGCCACTGCAGTAATTAATCATGCAAATAGGTTTTCCCCCCCTCTTTTTGCTACAATGAACAAGCATCAATGAAAGAAGTGCTATGTGTTAAGGGGAACAAGTGCCAGAGAACAAAAGATCAGAGAGCTGACTGCGGATGAATAACTGAGGGGCTAAGAGGACTTCAGTAAAGTTATTTTTGCTTGAGTGTTACAGCAAGGCTATTGTACACATCTTTTTTTTTCTTTTGTGTTTAGATCAAAACTTTAAACTGCCAGAAGGAAGCCACCTTTTTTGGCTTCCTCTTTGGTCAAAGATAAGTTATTATCGGTACATAACCAGCAGGTAGCAATAGCACTTAAGACTTCTATACTGCTTTTCCCGTACGCTACTTGGAGAGTCCAAGCATGGGTTAAATTCTGTCTGACTGCCCTGGACTGAATTGAAAGAACTTTAGCCACGCCTTCTCTTCCGGCTCCTCAGATTTTTCAATTCAGTTCTAGCCCAATGGACACGTTTTAAGTGGTTCCAGACTATCAACAGAAATTTACCCTTGACATGGACTTTCCAACCAAATAATTCCATTCTGCAAGGAAAAAAAAGGTCTTTAAATCTCATTGCTTCTATTACTGCTGCGTGTTGCCGGCGCGTGCTCCGGGCTTCTCCGGGCATGCACAGTTTATCTGTCTTGCTGGGTGATGCGATCCGGCTTAAGAGCCGACGCAATCGCCCTTTTCTCTTTGCGCAGTGGCCAGGGGCCTGAGGGGGCACTTGCTTGCGTTGAGCGTTTTGGCATGACGGTCAGTGGTGTGAGGACCCAGCCATTCACGCCATCGCCCTGGCTACTTTGAACTTGGCGCCGCTTTTTCCAGCAGCTAGTCATCGCCATTTTAAGTAAGGGAAAGCTTCCGGTGGCTATTTTAGTTGCAGTTTTGCCACTTTTTTTCTGAGATTCGTGAGTCAGTATCGGAAAGCGGTGGCAGCATGACTTGTTCTGCCCGGTAATCCGGCAGTCAGTCATTCCCCTCCACTGAGTGGCAATTGACCAAGGACAGCAAGGTGTTGGTCCTTCCCTTTAGGCCTCCCTCCAGCTGTTTCCTCTGCAGGCGCTTTGGACTGTTGGATTTTGCGCCAGAGGCTTCCTCGTGGAGGCACTGCCTTAACTACTCCTCTCAACCTTTGACCTGCACGCCTCTGAAGCAGCAACTGCAGCCATCCTCACATTTCCATTGTTCCTGGTGGTGAGTGGAGCTCAGCTCACAGTACAATGGCAGACGATGCTAGTCAGGAGGCAACACAGCCAGGGCCTTCTACCACCAGGAGCATTACCAGGCAGGCTAGCAAGGCAGCCTCAGAGGCCCTCAACAGGCAGAGCCAGGCGGGGGGAAAGAAAGGAACCAAATCTCAGGACAAGGTTCCCCCCCCCCCCGGAGCCAAAAGGCACCAGACCAACAGCCTGAAAGGGCCCAGCAACAGCAGGTGGCTAGATCTCCTGTCCCTGCAGTAGATTTAACAGGGCCCCAGCCCCTGTATAGCAATAGCAGTTAGACTTATATACCGCTTCATAGGGCTTTCAGCCCTCTCTAAGCGGTTTACAGAGTCAGCATATTGCCCCACATATCAAGACCCATCTAGGTCAGATAGTAAGGATGAAGACCAAGAATTTTCATCAGGTGCTTCCTCTGTTTCAGCTGGCTCTCCCAGACCATCCATGGGAGATAATGCTGATTTATTTCACTGCTCCTTGGAGACAGAGGATTCTCCTCCAACCTTAACACTGGCCCCACAACATTTCCTGCCCCGCAGAGCCAAAAAACGAACACAGCCTGCAGAAGACCAGGGGCCAGCTCTCCTCTGAAATGCAGGAAGTCATAGCCAGGGCCATTTCCCAGGGAATTGCAGAAGGCCTCAAGCAATGTGCCAAGTGTTCCTGCTGGTCCAAGTCCTCATCTTCTAGGGCTGTTCCTTCAGAGGCCCCCCCGGGATCCGCATCTCCCCATTCCTCGCTGGACAGCGAGGATTTGGCTGTAGATGAGGTCATTCCAGAGCAGGAATTCTCTAGGGATTGAGGGAGCTGTCACGGATAAGCCAGGCTTTACCTGGTTGTTTAAACATGCCTCGTTCAAGACCATCTTGGACAAAGCCAAAACGGCCACCCGCATGGGAGTAACTACCTCCGATCCAGCAGCAGTAGATCCATCTGACCCTAGTGAAGGTCTGTTTGAGGAACCAGTAGTTCCCCAGAAGATTGTGCCAGTTCCAAAATTATTCCTGAATGTGGTACAGAGACAGTGGGTTCAACTGGGCACCCTAGCCATGCCTGGCAGCAGTGACAAAAGAGGACTTATTAAAATTGCCTCAGGTGGATCCTCTGGTACAAGCTCTTACATCCTCCTCAGTCTTGCCCCCTGACTTGTTAGAGGGCTTGAAGGCAGAGGATAAGAGGTCAGAAAGGGCATGTCACAAGACCTGCCTGGGCCATTAAGACAGCCACTTTGGCATCTTTCATGTCCAGGGCCTGCCTCCTCTGTCTCAGACAGATTTCTGCTAAGTTCCTGACAGGTGACACCAAATTGAGACAGGAGTTCAATAAGGTTTTAGCGGCAGCAGAATGCACTGCAGATGCCACCCTCAACTCTGCCAAGTTTGCTTCCAGGGCTCTGGGTTCTAATGTCACCACCAGGCGGCTCTTATGGCTCCGCCACTGGAACGCAGACATGAGATCCAAGTGGAAGTTGGCCTCTGTCCCCTTTAAGGGAGGGAAACTTCGGGGAAGCTCTGGACCCTGTCCTAGTCGAGAACAAAGACAAAAAGAAAGTTATGCCATCTGTCACCAAGAAAACGGAGCGCAAAAGTTCTGGTTATTTCATAAAGCAATCCTTTCGTTCCTCAGAACTGTCCACTAGCACTGGTCAGTACCACTGTCCATACAATCAGGAACAGGACCGGTCTCAGGACCATCAGCCCTTTCGGGACAGGGTCAGACAACAACCCTTCTCCAAGCGGCTCTTTTGTGGCAGATCAGGCTCTAGGCCTTTCCGTCGCTGTAAGTGACAGCCAGCTGATGGCTCCCATCGGAGGGTGCCTGCAACTATTTCAGGACCGATGGGAACAAACAACGTCAGACCGGTGGGTACTTCAGACAATCCGTCTGGGTCTGACCCTAGAATTCATTCCCCCTCCCTCGTCACTTCATCTGCTGCCCCACTCCCTCCTCCCTAGCCAAAAAGTCCCTAATGGAGCAAGAGATCCAGCACCTTCGGGAGATAAGGGCAATAGAACCAGTACCAGCAGGTCAAGAAGGGTCAGGTTTTTACTCAATCCTGTTTCTAGTCCCAAAGAACTCAGGAGGGTGAANGTCAGGTTCTTCCCGCTCTAGTGACATTTCACTTGGTTATGTCCCATGCTTGGACTCTCCAAGCAGCATACAGGCAAATGACAATTGGCTTACCTGAAGGGTCCTTTTCTGTACGCTGCGAAGACAGTCCAACCCCGCCCTAGGGTCTCTCTCACAGCTTCCATGTGTATATGTATTGGACCTTGATGTGGATTGGTGACTTCGTTACCAGATTTGACTTAAGCAACCTATTTTGACTTGAATTAAGAACAGATTCAATGGAACCACATTTGAACAGTGGTACAGGTCCACACCTTTATTGAAAAATCTGAGGAACCGGAAGAGGAGGCATGGCTAAAGATCTTTCAATTCAGTTCAGGGCAGTCAGACAGAATTTAACCCATGCTTGGACTCTCCTCGCAGTGTACAGAAAAGGACCCTTCAGGTAAGCCAATGGTCATTCACATTGCTTTACAGCCCTCTCTCAGGCTACCGCCCCCAACAATCTGGGTTGGCATTTGACCCACCTCGGAAGGATGGAAGGCTGAGTCAACCTTGAGCCAGTCAGAATCAAACTTCTGGCAGTAGACAGAGTTAGCCTGCAATACTGTATTCTAACCACTGCAGCACCAGGAAGAAGAAAGGGGATAGGAAGGAAAATAGCACTAGCACTTATATGCTGCTTCATTGTGCTTTACTGCCCTTTCTAAGCAGCTTACAGAGTCAGCCTCTTGCCCCCCAATAATCTGGGTGGAAGGCTGAGTCAACCTTGAATTGGTTAGAATCGAACTCCTGGAAGTAGGCAGTGAATTAGCCTGTAATACTGCATTCTAACCACTGTGCCACCATGGGATGGACTCTGCATCTCTCTACATTCACATAGCATGTTGTTTTCCACTAAGCTTCCATGAGCATTTTGGTTTGGCATTTAGGCATTCCCCAACTCATAACTCCATGTCGGGTGTAGGAACATACACAGCACACCCAATAATTCCGATCCTGGGGAAGGAAGCGGAATCGAATTGTCTGGAGAAACTGTCAAGTGAGTGTCAGAGGGTATCTATCCCTAAGACACATTTCCACTGTCATGAGATTAAAAGAGGAGAGGAAGCAGAAGCTCTAAGAATCTCAGAAATCTGCACTGTGATTTTTTCTCTCTACTCATCACGTGTTTGTCTTCCTGCTGGAAAGAAGCTGGATGGGGTTGCAGGAAATGCAACATCCCAGCAATGCTTGAAAAAACAAGTCAGGTGATTGGAAGGGTGATTGCAGCTGCATTTCAATGGAGGAGAAAGAACATGGATAAGGCAAAGGAAATGATGAAAAAGGTGGCCTATATCAGGTCATTCATAAGTGAAAAAAAATTTAAGACATGATTATTCTTAAAAAGATGCGGTGGCTCAGTGGCTAAGACCTGAGAAAGATCAGCAGTTCGAATCCCTAGTGCTGCGTAACGGAGTGAGCTCCCGTTACTTGTCCCAGCTTCTGCCAATCTAGCAGTTCAAAAGGACATAAAAAATGCAAGTAGGAAAATAGGAACCACCTTTGGTGGGAAGGTAACAGCATTCCGTGCGCCTTCGGCGCTGAGTCATGCTGTCCACATGACCACGGAGATACACTATATTGCCAAAAGTATTCAGTCACCCATCCAAATAATCAGAATCAGGTGTTCTAATCACTTCCATGGCTACAGGTGTATAAAATCAAGTACCTAGCCATGCAGACTGTGTTTACAAACATTTGTGAAAGAAGAGGTCGCTCTCTAGAGCTCAGTGAATTCCAGCGTGGAACTATGATAGGATGCCATCTGTGCAACAAATCCAGTCCTGAAATTTCCTTGCTCCTAAATATTCCACAGTCAACTGTAAGAACATGGAAGTGTTTGGGAACAACAGCAACTCATGCACGAAGTGGTAGGCCACGTAATCTCGTGCAACATCATTGTGTGATCACAAATGTGCTTCTGGAAGAATGGTCAAAAATTTCCATAAACACACTCCTGAACCTTGTGGACAGCCTTCCCAGAAGAGTTGAAGCTGTTATAGTTGCATAGGGTGGATTGATGTCTTATTGAACCCTATGGATTAGGAATGGGATGTCACAGTAAGTTCATATGNCTGCCCCACTCCCTCCTCCCTAGCCAAAAAGTCCCTAATGGAGCAAGAGATCCAGCACCTTCGGGAGATAAGGGCAATAGAACCAGTACCAGCAGGTCAAGAAGGGTCAGGTTTTTACTCAATCCTGTTTCTAGTCCCAAAGAACTCAGGAGGGTGAAGGGGGATATTAGATCTAAAGAGATTGAACTACCAACTAGTGTACAAACGCTTCAAAATGCAGTCTCTCCAATCAATCTTGAGCTGCATCAGGCCAGGGGATCTACTAACATCAATAGATCTCAGAGAAGCGTACCTTCACATCCCTGTCCGCAAGGCCCATCGCAGGTTCCTGAGATTCTATTATGCAGGAACACACTATCAATACAGGGCCCTGCTGTTCGGCCTGTCATCGCGCCCCCCCCCCCCGAACATTTACAAGGATTCTGACAGCCATGGTAGTGTCCCTGAGGTCGTGTCCAGTGAGACTTCAAGCATACCTGGACAACATCATCATCAAATCACTGTCCCGCCAGCAAGCGGGCAGAGACCACCAGATGACCATGAGAGCCCTTCAAGACCACGGGTTCTCCATCAACATGGACAAAAGCCATCTCACTCCCACCACCAGGTTGCTGCATTTCAGGGCCATCATAGACACTAAATAACCAAGTCTTTCTGTCGCAGGAGCCGATCTCCAGCCTCAGACAACTGATCCTTCAGGTGAGAGCCTCACAGACCGCACTATAGTCCTGCTGTCGAAATTCCTAGCCAAGATGATCTCTTGCCTCTCGATAGTACCGTGGGCGAGGCTGCACTCACAACAATGAGTGTCTTCTACCCCACCAATGGGCCAAGAAGAGCAACTCCCCAGCTCTGATTCCAGTTCCCTCAAGGTCCAACAGTCCCTGTGGTGGTGGGACTCTCCTGCACTACCCAAGGGCAGTCTCATTGGCGAGCCACATCGCCTAATCATCACTACGGATGCCAGCCTCTTCGGATGGGGGGCACATCTGGACAATCAGGTCTCCCAGGGCAGGTGGTCCGACGGCGATCTCAAACACAGCATCAATTGGCTGGAATTAAAAGCGGCGAAACTAGTTCTCTTTCACTTCCAAATGACCATCCAGGGCCAGCATGTGATGCTGTTAACAGACAATGTGGCCACCAAGGCACATGTCAACCACCAGGGGGCACTCACTCCAAGTCCCTGATGGTGGAGGCGGAATGCCTGGGGAGGTGGGCGGAGAAACATCTGTCATCCCTTTGAGCAGAGTACATCTCTGGGGTGAGCAATGTCCAGGCAGATTGGTTGAGCAGGGCCACAATCGATCATTTGGAATGGTGTCTGCACCTGGACCTTTTCCTCAAGATCACACAGAGATTCGGCCGCCCCTCAGTCGACCTGTTTGCCACCCTGGAGAACACTCACCTCCCTCGCTTCTTCTCCAGGTACAAGTCCCCGAAGGCAGAGGAGCTCAACGCTCTGCTTTGCTGCTGGCCACTAGGCCTATTCTACGCGTTTCCGCTGCTTCTCCTTCCCAGTGTCATCTGAAAGATTCTCACAGAACAGGTGGAAGTTCTTTTCAAAGCACCATTTTGGCCCAGACAGGCATGGTTTGCCGATCTTATGAGCCTCTCCATCACCAAGCCGTAGAGGATTCCTCCAGGGGAGGTCCCTCTCAGCCAGGGGGCCCTATCACATCTGGAGCCCCAATGGTTGCAATTGGCCATTTGGCACTTGAGAGGGACCTCCTAGAGAGGAACAGGCTCTCCTCAAAGGTCATCCAAACCATTCAGGCAGCACATAGACCATCTACTACCAGAATTTATGAGGCCACTTGGTCAGCCTTCACAAAATGGTGCGTACCTAAGCAGATAAACCCCGCTTCAGTCTCTATGCTGCAAGTTTTTGACTTTTTGCAAGAAGGATTGGACCAGGGGATGGTGGCCAACACGCTTCGTCGCAAAGTGGCAACGCTCTCCACCATCCTCACTCCCAGCAACCACCTATCCCTAGCACGTCATTCCAAGGTCCGCAGTCTCCTGAAGGGAGCCTCCAATTTGTGGTCCCCAGTCATTCATCGATACCCAACTAAGGAGTTGAATATTGTACTTAGGGCTCTAGTTGAGGCTCTGTTTGAGTTGATTCGTACCTGTGACCTGAAGCACCTAACCTTCAAGACAGTATTCCTGACCACATGTAGGATTCTGGAGATGGCGGCCATGTCAGTCAGGGAGGACTTGTGCGTCATACATCCAGAAAGGGTCATCCATTGCTTGGATCCTTCGTTTCTTCTGAAGGTCAACTCTTGGTTTCATCAAAGCTAGGAAGTCATTCTTCCTGACTTTTGTCCTCA